ATAATGACAGATAATGGAAAACAGTTCGTAAGTAATCACTGGAAACAATCAATGAGTGAATTAAATATAAAGCCAATATATACCACAGTTAAAAATCCTAGACCAAATACAACAGAGCGAGTAAATAAAGAGTTGAGCAGATTATTTAGGACGCTTTGTCATACTAACCACAAAGATTGGGCATTAATATTGCCGAAATTAGAAGAATTGTATAATAATTCTTATCACAATAGTACAGGCTTCACGCCTTGTGAGATTCTTTATGGTGAGTCTAATGAGATGTCTTTTGACAAAGTAATTTCCAAAAGTAAAGACAAACATAATGTCGGACAAATTAGACAACAAGTGCGTAAAAATTTAAAAGAGGCAAGTCGAATAAGAAACACAAAATTTGATAAGCGAAATAGATTAATAAAATATAATATTGGTGACTTAGTAAAAATTTCAAGATCTAGTAGATCAGACGCTGATAATAAAGTTACGAGTAAGTTCAATTTGGCATATGAAGGACCTTATGTAATAGCAGCCGTACCATTTGACAATGTATATACCTTAGCAAATCCAGAGACAAACGAAATTAGAGGAATTTTCAATGCTATTCACTTATTAAAATATTTTAAATAATAATTTCTTTTTGTATAAATTAGAGTAATTAAATAAATATTGTAACATAAAAGGGTTTTGTGGGTAGCCCATGGAAATAATTGTTTAAGTTAAAGGTCTAAAATTATTAAAGTTATGAGCAAGAGATTTGTTATATGATAGTAGAACGTTATTAATATATAATGAAGAGTTGTAAATATAGATCGTAAGATAATTTTGTAATCATTTTTATTAAATAAATATGGGAGTTGGGTCAGGGCGAATGGCTCAAACACATTTATCCTATGTGGTATCAAACTGACCTCAACAAATATCAAACTGGATTGTATGCACATAAAGTGTGACACTATCGAAATAATGTTTCAAAGATTTAAAGATAAATTAATAAAATAAGAAATCGACAATTGACTGCAAACTTTATTAACAACACGATATACAATAACTTGAATTATGGTGTTATCACATCGTGATAATTGTGGTTGAAGGGGTGTTGGTGGCGGCCATTCCCTGGGGCAGGGGGATTTGATAACATATGCCGTATTGTAACAGATTAAAAGAGGAAAGAACAGATATATAAACAATTATTTGAGTGTAGTGTATATGCTCTCAAAATACTAAAATTTTATATTAACGACTCCACTATGTGGATCATTAACATAAAATTTGGGGGTGGATTGTGACGCCTCATAATTATTATTAATAAATAATAATTAAATTCATTATACAGACATTTAAAAAGGTCATAGAAATTATAATTTAAACAATAAAATGCAAATAATAAGCATAGAGTTCAAAAATATCCATTTGGAATATTGAATATTATATATATTAGTAAACGCATAAAATGTCTCAAAAAATCTCTAAATTTATTAAAAACCTGCTTAAAATGTTTAAAATATATCAAATCATATAAATACAAGGCGATTATATTGCAATAACAAAGATAAATAACATTTGTAATATAATAGAAAAAAATGGATTAAAATTTTCTAAGTTGATGAAGGTGTTCGTGTAATAATTGGAAAATTTCTAAGTTAATGAACGTGTTCTTGTAATGTTCCCTTATATTGGGGCGTTGTCGGAGACACATACCCAAGGTTGTACATATATATGGGGTGGTCGGCTGACCGACTGCTAGTACTAAGGTTGCACAATGACTAGTCCTATATTAGGGACTTAACATAGTAAGGTCTGACGAACCAAAGCATTAATATAGAAGGTCTCTATGATGCATAAGCATTATGATAGCAGAGTTATGACTTGAAGTCCCATATGAATAAGACATACAGTAGTATGGTCTATGAAATAAAGCAAATATGTGGAAGGTCTCAAATATGTAAAAGCATTATATTGAAAGAAATGGGACTTGAAAAGGATTATTATAGTGGCGTGTAGGTTGCTTCGCAGCCTCTGAGACCGAGGTAAACTTGGACTCACTAACCGATGTGTCCTAGACATATCATCTTAGTGCCGGTGGTAAGCGGGTTTGTTGTAGCAATACGACTTGCTCGTGGACATCGCACACCCCTACCGGTTGTGGGCGGCGTCTTAGCGCATAGCGTTATGATACGTCGGCTATCTTTTGGATTAGGGTGAGTGTGTTTGGTAGTACTTTTAAGTGCAGCAAGCATACTCAACTTCATGTCTTAGTGCAATAGCGCTATGATACGTGGAGTTTTGTCTACTGACGTCTTAGTACCGTACTACTATGATACGTTAGTGGTATTTTTAGTTAACAACATTATCAAATTTTGTTACCAAAGTCGATAGGGATCATGTGGGTGTGTTGTGAGGGGGCGCCATCCGTATGATAGTTGCATTGATGCTTACTGCTACTTGCAGTATTGTGTCTTGTGATGGATCTGCGGGTGTGCTGCACCTGATTCGATGCATCTTGTGGTTCTGGTCGATGGAGGTATGCGGGTGGTGATGTCTGCTGGGACTGTATGGGGGACCTTGGGATGGTGTAAGCCCGACGATAGTCGTATTGATGCTTGTTGCATTCTGTAGCATTGCGTCTCTACGATGGTTGTTTGGCGGGTCGCTATTCTCAATGGCGCTCTCTGCGTCTTGGTTTGACTCACAACCTAAGTAGCTTTGCCCAAGTCGGGTCCCTTCATTGCGGGGCTGCAGACTGTCTGCCCTTCATGATGTTTTATATAACAACTTAATAATATATCTCTATAAAGTTCCCACCTTTGAGAGATTGAAGGCAACTTGTTGGTGGGTGAGACAAACATGATCGAAAAATGCATATACTCAACGTCAGTGACACAAACCCTTTCTGATGGCGAATTATTAATATTATCTTATAACTGCCTATTGGCTATATCTGCCATTGTATTGGTTGGTGGAGCATATGTGTCGACCTCATGCGGGTGGTAGCTGGAGGGAGAATCTGAGGAGGCTCTCAAGGCTGCGGCCGAAAGCCGCGCAACGTGGGACCCCATTCCCTTGAGGTGAGCGGTAGACTCATGACACGCTCTGCGGCCAATTGGCCGTGCTGACCATGCAATTGGTGGTGATGCCTTACACTTACATCACGTCAGCAGAAACGGCGGTCTGGCAGGTGGTGGCGCTCACGGAGGGCTTTTTATGGTCAGTGTGCCGATTGTTGCCTAACCCGTGTGACGTACATTTCACTGTGGCTGGATTTGATCGTATTCTGTATGGCGTTTACACGCATTGACATGCGCGACTTCGGTCGATGTTTGTGCTTACGCACTGTCAAGGGGCCAAGTCCTCTTTTACTGGTTCGCCAGTTATTTTGCTGTGGACTACGGCCCAGTTCCCAACTTTGCGTACCCTTCGGGGGGAGCGCATTAAAATGGTTGGCGCTCACCGTGCGCGGCGTGTGGGGCCGTGTACCTCCTCCACATTTTTTTTAAAATGTGGGAGAGCGAAGCCCTTGTAACTGGTATTTGATATAAATATTGTGAGCCTTTTCCAAGTGGGAAGGGATTAATTAATAAGGAATTGATTGTTGTGAACCAGATACAAGTGGAATAGGGACAATTTATTGTTTTTAACCTTTTTGAGCTCTGTCTTCGTGAACGGGGTTCTTTAGCTTATAAGACTCTACCAACAGCTTTCGATTGCTCTCGTGAATATTCATTCTTCCAAGATACACCTAAAAGAGCTAAGTTACTATACAAACACAACGTAAAAAAGGGTCCTAACTAAGACGATCACGCCATAAATTTATTAAACGGCCTATATTTAAACCTTTAGAAAGATCAAGTTATACTGGTCTTGTAAATTAGATATATTTATATATCTTACAGATATAGATTCTAAAGAAATACGAGTATAAGTGGATATATAGTAGAAAATAAAAAAGATGGGGGGGGGGGGGTTCGTTACAATATCAATGATATGTTGCTTACTGGTAACATTCATTGCTATGCGGATGACAGCACTGGTGATGCTCTATACACCGGCCGTGCCAATATTTCTCGGGAAAACGTCGCCGAGTACCGGAACAAACTTGTGTCTGAAGTCGAGTCTTTGCTGAACAAAGTCTCGGATTGGGGGCGACTAAATCTAGTCCAGTTTAATCCTCAGAAGATACAAGTTTGCGCGTTTACCGCTAAAAAGAACCCCTTTGTCGTATCTCCTCAGTTTTAAGGCATTCCTCTTCTTGCCTCAGCCAGTATCGGTATCCTCGGAGTCGACGTATCGAGTGACGTGCAATTTCGTGGTCACTTGGAAGAGAAGGCCAAATTGGCCTCTAAAAAGCTTGGCGTGCTCAGCAGAGCGGGACAGTATTTCATGCCGGCACACCGCCTGCAACGTTACAAGGCGCAGGTTCGGCCTCACATGGAATACTGTTCCCATCTCTGGGCAGGGGCTCCCCAGTGCCAGCTCCTTCCACTTGACCGCATCCAGCACAGAGCGGCTCGAATCGTCGACGACCGAGCCCTTTCCGATCGGCTCGATTCATTGGCACTGCGAAGAGATGTTGCATCCCTTTGCATTTTCTTTCGCATCTACCATGGGGAGTGCTCTGAGGAATTGTATTCGGATTAATCCCAGCCGCCAAATTTCACGAACGCACATCGCGGCAGAACTCCCGATACCATCCACACCATCTGGATGATTGGCGGTTCACCACTGTGCGATTTAGAAGATGTTTTCTTCCTCGCACGACTTCCTTGTGGAATCGATTACCATCAGCGATTTTTCCGGACCGATATGACTTAGGGACCTTCAAGAAAAGAGCGTACTCCTTTTTAAAAGGCCGGCAACGCATCTGCAATTCCCCTGGTTCCCCTGGTGTTGCAGTTGTTCATGGGCGGCGGTAGTCACTTACCATCAGGTGAGCCGCATGCTCGTTTGCCCCCTCTCCTATAAAAAAAAAATTAATGAAAAAAGAAGATTCAAATGTGCCAACGTACCGCTCCGTGCCTCTCCCACTTTCCAGGTCATCATCAGCGCCCACGTACATGGAGTAGCCACGTCTACTCAGTTCCTCGTCAGGCACTAGCGTTGGGTTGTGGAACGCGTAGTTCTTGTCGGGATTCATTTTAAGTTTTCTGGAATAAATTGGGCTTTTATATTTTTTTAAGTTTACAAAGGGTAATTTTTTAAAGAGTAGCCAAATTTTAAAGTTAAGTTCAAATATATAAATAATGATATACCATTATTGCAGTTTGTGAATATACGCGTAAATAAGGATTCTAAATTTATATGAAACTATCCCAAATTTAATATGATTTATGGGCAACAACCGTTTTGTCTACCGGTCGACCCTTACGAATGTGTGCGTGCGCAGTAAAAACAGTTAAAATAATGTATTACCACGCATTTTATATTTAAAAGAAGTAATAATAATTATGATGAATAATGATGACATTTTTTGTGTAATTTTCGTGACTGACTCCGGGTTCAAATCCCGGGTCTGGTCGAAAATCAGTAATTGGGTTTTTCTAATAAGAAATTCTCAGTAGCAGTGCAGAATCGGAAATTTGGCGGCGATTCACACGTAAAGCCGTTACTCCTGCGTCTGATTTCTCTGCGGTGTGTCGACTACCGTCCCTTCAGATTGACGACGTTTCACCCCCGTGTCTTGTAAGAAGCTCAAGACCAGCAGTGGACCTTGATGAAGAAGAAGAAGCAAGAGGATATTAGTAGTAGTTTTTACATGGTAGAGCCATGCTGCATCTATATTAGTAGTATAGTTGCAGCACGAATGAGTCGGCTCGACCAGGGAAGGACCACGCTCTCGCAGAATACCAGCGTAAACAGCAGCTTAATGTTGCTGTGTTTTGTATAATGAGTGTAGAGAACTGGAGACCCTGGAGTTTACTGGAAACGAGGCATTCCATCTTAGTCCAAAAGTCTGCAACGCATCTGCATTTTGATCCTTAATCGAGGATAAATGTAGATGTTTATGGACCACAGCATCCACTTACCCTCAATCCCTTATTGTATAAAAAATGAAATACAGCAGTATTGTAACTTCTGTATTGTGTGAGATAGCTGCAGCGTGGCTCTACCACGTAAACGTATGCACGGTACATCGTATGGGATCAGAATGCTACTTACTGCACTCTCAGACGGCCCGCGGTTGACATCTCGGCCACCTTGCTGCGCAGGCTGCTCAGCTGTGAGCACATCACAAGCACCACTACGAGTAGCAGCAGCCACGCGCCACCGAAAGCGCTAACGATTATAATCGTTTGCGTGTCCTGGAAGAAGAAATCAAATCAATCAGCCTAAAAGAAACCTAACATCCCACTTTCTTTTTAGGTATATAGATCTCCGTTTCTTTTACCGGTGTATACCTGTATTACAAAACTCAGCTGAGGATAGGCCCAAAAAAGTGACGTCTGATCAAGCAATAATAGCTAGCCTAAATGCTTGTATTGTTGACAAGGAGCCAAAGATTAAGTATGTCCATAGAAAATGGAAGAAAGTGTTTGTTTACTGCAAAGTGGAAGTGATATTCAAAGGAAAATGCAAATGAATAAATTTCCGGGTTTTTTTTATAAGAAAGTGTGACAAACGAGCACACAGTCCACCTGATGGTAAGTGGTTACTGTGACCCATAGACATCTACATCTATCCTCAATAAAGACTCAAGATGCAGATGCGTTGTCACCCGTGAGGACTAAGATGGAATGCCTCTTTGCCAGTAAAAAGGGTCTCTGGTTCTCTACACTCACCATACGAAACACAGCAGCGTTAAGCTGCCATTTTACGCTGGTTTTCTGTGAGAGCGTGGTCCTTCCCCGGTCGAGCCGACCCATTCGTGCTACAACTATACTACTAATATAGCTGCAGCTTGGCTCTACCACGTTGAAAACGTGGCTCAGTGAACGCAGTTGGACCAAAGACCCTATTACCAGTTATCGTCTGGCAGGATCTTGTTTGAACTTTGGCTTAGTAATGTTTAAAAAATATTTAAAAATAAAATTATAATCAATATAGATTTTCCAAAAATATGATGGTCTTTTAATATTTTTAATTTCAGTCTCATTTATTGAATTTGCATCACACAGTTATGTTCAAACCAAATGTCAATGTTTGCTTAGTGCTTAACCTAGTTATATATCACCCACACTGTGCAATCAGCACCAGAGCACATACTCGTAAATAATACAGAGCTGCGTCATCCGATAGCAGATGATAAGTTGGATGACTGGTCAGTCATCCGTTTATCTTAAGAAATTCTCATAAACCACACACTTGTGCGATTCGATTGTACGATTTTGTAGGTTTTCGTTGACGGGACAGTTGTTGAATACTCAGAAATACTCTGTTTTATGGATCGTCAATAGTTTTACTTGACTCTGGTTTGTACTGAACCAGCGTTTAAGCTTCCGCTATGTTGTTTCCGTAACCTAGATGCTGAGTAGATGCGATTTTAGTTTATAATTTTATTTTTGTTATGTTATATTTTATTTTTGTTATGACAGTTTAGATTTATTTTTATTTCATTTATTAGTCTATGGGTCTTTTTGTAAGTTTTAAGGCCAATTTTTCTTTCATCAAATAAATTATAAACAGACTGATTATAAGAGTTAGTTTTGTTTACGTTTTACTTTATCCTATTTTAGCTGATGATTGACAAGTCAGTTCTCATTCGTGCAGTAATGGAAGAATTAATTATTTCAACTTTTTCATTTTCAACCTTATCAATATCTTCGGCATATTCTTTAAGTTCACTACTACCTAATACACACAAACTTACAAACACATGCACTCACACACACACACACATATAGTTTTCATCTAGTCCGGTCATGCATAGAGTACTACTGTCACTGTTGGACTCAGTGGAGAGATGTGGTAATGCTCAAGTACTCAATAGCTGCTCAATTTTAAATCGCCGTTAAGTCTCGTGCTGTGTCTATCACTTTAAGTGCAAGTGACTGTGACGCCACGAGACTTAACGACATCTTAAAATTTAATAGCGTTTGAATATTTGCCATAAATAAGTCTTATTGCTAATGCTGATTTAGTTGAAACCAGTCTTGTCAACATCGAGCACAGGCGCAGAGTAGCCAGTCTTTCGGGATTCTATTGGATGGATTTCGGAAAGCGTGTTTAGCAAAAAGTACATGCTTAAATTCCTCCCTCCCCTTTCCACCATCGGACAAACAGGTAGTCGGCGGAATTTCACCCTTTTGTTGTCGATATTCCACGCATTAGAACCAAACGGTTTGCTTCGCTTTTCGTAATGCGTACATCAAAGGATTGGAATAATTTGTCGGCATCTGTCTTTCTGTCCGAATACAATCTGGGCAATTTCAAGGCAAGAGTGAATAGGCTTTTGTTACGCTAAGACAGTGCAATTTACCTTCACTTCATCAGCACTTACCACCAGGTGGGATTCCGGTCAAGCACTGGCTTATAATAAGTAAAAAAACAGACTTTTTTAATAGGATAGGGTGACAAACGAGCACACAGTCCACCTGATGGTAAGTGGTTGCTGCGACCCATAGACATCTCCATCAAACAAAATGCAGATGCGTTGTCACCCGTGAGGACTCGTTTCGAGTAAAAGGGTTTCCGGTTCTCTTCACTCACCATACAAAACACAGCAGCGTTAAGCTGCTATTTTACGCTGGTAGTCTGTGAGAGCATGGTCCTTCCATGCTCTCACAGACTATACTACCAATTAGCTGCAGCATGGCTTTACCACGTATAACCTTTTTAAGAATGCGCCAGAAAGTATGCATTTCTTAATAGAGTCTATTCTAATGACGCTGAGCGGGTGGCTTGGTGAAATGAGAGCCTAAGCTCTTCCACTGGTAATGCTGTTTATCAATAGCGGACTACAGTATTTGAATTTGGTATTTTTGGATTGGTTTTAGGTATCCAGACCATTCTATTCCTACCACTTACCGTGTAGAGGCGGCGTTAGAAAATCGATTACTTTTACGTATGGCTAATAACAGCGATTCATCGCAGGTTTTGTAATTTTAGTAGGTTCATTGTTTTTAAAATAGTTAAATATAAGAAATAAGCAAAATATTAAGACATGGCAGTATTACATTTGGATTGTATCGTAATTAAATATTTGCTCTGTTGCCATTATCCGGGGAGATATTTTTGTTGCTATTATCCATTCAGAAAAATATCTTTCCCCCTACATCCATTGAGTTATATGTACTACGTACTAGAGAAGCCATTTCAAACAAAAATTGTGTCCTATGCGCGGGAATAGTAGTCGCGCATGCGCGAAGACTTTAATTTGATATAAAATAAGATATTAATATAAAATAAATATAAGAATTTAATATAAAATATCTTAATTTAATCTAAACTAACATATTTCTAAATAAAATGTAGTAATAATTATCTTATGGAATTCACAAATCTTCAATTTACGCAATATTTAGTTTGTAGGGATTGCACTACAGTTCAGTTGCACATAGGCAATGTTCGGAATGGCTTCTCTAGTACGTAGTACATATAACTCAATGCCTACAAAAATACATCCTACACAAATATACCATAGAGAATAATTTAATATTATTTGACAACACTGGCAAAAGTACAATAGTATGAGTCCTTCCAAAGAAAGAAAAAAAAACACAATTATGACTTTTTTAATTCTGCGAATAACATATGATGTAGTATTTGTCGCCCTTGATAACAATTTATTACGTATAATTTTATCATTAATATCTTTATTTTCTAACTGTTAGAATTAAAGATTACAATATGCAAATAGGAAACGGAATGCTAAATTATCTGATAAGACTTTAAATATTGTTTAAGTATATACTTACTTTAAGTATACGTGGTGGAGCGACGCTATATCTTAGTTGTTAAATGTGTACACAGCTATATTATAGTTGTAGCACAAATGGTACAAATGGCTCGACCGGGGAAGGATCACGCTTTCACAGAATACTGGCGTAAAATAGCACTTAATGCTGCTGAGCTTCGTAGGGCCATTGTAAAGAACCGTAGAACCCTTTTACTGGAAACAAGATATTCCATCTTTGTTAATCGAGCATAAATGTCTATGGGCCACAGCATCCACTTACCATCAGGGGGACTGTGGGTTTGTCACCCCCATTCTATAAAAAAAGGGGAGGCTTACCACAAGCAATAGTTTTCTAATTGCTGATGAAACTAATGCTAACAGGAAAGCACCATACATATAATGTGTGTAATAATTTAAAATTAAAAATTTTGTACAGCCGACTTCAATATAAGTTATTAAAAATAACTCAAAAACTATTGGTGTAACGTTGATCAAATTCATAAGGGACAACATGTGAAGTACCAGCTTTCAAATAAAAAAAGAATCATCGAAATCGGTTCATCGAATAAAAAGTTATGAGGTATCACACATAAAAAAACATACAGTCGAATTGAGTACCGGCTCCTTTTTGAAGTCTGCAGAAAATGAAAATTCTCAAATAAAAAGTTATAATTTGTTCTGGATTGTAAATTATTCCAATTGAAATCTATTGAAAACCATAGCAACAAACAATGAAAATTATCGCATTACTGTATACATATGTGTATTACTTACAAAGAACAATGCAAGGACAAGTTTTATATAATTATTTTTAAATTTATTAAGCTTGGAGCTGATTAAACACTAAACGATCAAAAAAATAAAAACAGAGCAAATTTTATAAATCAAAATAAAATAAAGAAACGTGTAATAATAATAACAGACATTAAAAATTTTAAAACGTCCGAAATAAAAAGAGCTGATGATCTTCCAACGGCTGAACCTATTTTCTGCTGACTTCCTAAAAGGAGACGGTACTCAATTCGACTGTATGTTTTGTGTGTGTTACCTTATAACTTTTTACTGGGTGAACCAATTTCGATGATACTTTTGTTATTTGAAAGCTTGTACTTCTCGTGTGGTCCCATATGAATTTGATCAAGGAAAAACCAAGTTTTTGAGTTATTCTTAATAACTTATATTGAAGTCGGCTGTACAAAATTTTTAATTTTAAATTATATTAAAACGAAATAAACTTAATCAAAATCGGTTCATCCTTTAAGCAGCTATGATGCCACAAATAAAGAAAGCATTGCTTGGAATTTCTCACTTTGGTCACAACCTAACAGATATATTTAGAAGAAACAATGAGTTGAAGTGACAAAAGGCTACCTTGAAATACCGACAACTGATAGCTATCTTACACAGAATGACAGAATGCCAGCATAAAATGGCAGCTTAATGCTGCTGTATTTCGTATGGTGAGTGTAGGGACCTGGAGACCCTTTTTACAGGAAACGAAGCATTACATCTTAGTTCTCAAGGGTGACTATGAATCGATTAATAATTAAACTACAGATGCGTTATCTGTAGTTTGATTTTTAATCGAGGACAGATGCAGATATCTATGGGCCACTGCATCCATTTACCATCAGGTGGACTGTGTGCTGGTGTGTTGTTTACTCTCGTTCTATAAAAAATTACTGATGGGGAAAAAAGGTTCTCTCACTCTTAGTATACTTAGCACACATTGGAAGAAGAAAAAAAAAACTATAAATACAGCATACATTAAACGCCTCAATCTTCAAAGTCACAGTCTCTATTGCTCAATCTTGATGAAATTGTTAATTTTGATGTTACTTAATAGTTCACGATCCTCTAAATATTGACAGAGACCGAAGCCCCGCCAGCTTTGCCAGTATCCACAATAAGAAACGAGGTGATTGACCGTCATTCCATTCATCTTTGCATGCACTTGCTGTAAGTGATAAACTTAGAAATGAGGATATCCGCAGTAGAACCAGAGTAACCGACATAGCTCAACGGATTAGTAAGCTGAAGTAGCAGTGGGCCGGCCATATAGCTCGAAGAACCGACAACCGATGGGGAAGAAAGGTTCTCGAGTGGCAGCCTCGTACCGGTAGGGGAAGTGTAGGGCGACCCCCCACTAGATGGAGTGACGACCTGGTAAGACATGCAGGAAGTCGATGGATGCTTTGTGGCATTCCTTGGGGGAGGCCTATGTTCAGCAGTGGACTTTGAAGGGCTGTAATGATGATGATGAATGATTGCATTACAGCCATTAAAAGTCCACTGCTGAACGTAGACCTCTCCCGTAGACTGCCTTATACGGAAGATGTTTCTATAGTGGCCATGCATGGCATTGTTGTTATCAGAAAGATGTTTCTGGCTATCTTCTGTTTTAGTTTCCTTCTGTCGGCTCTTACGACACCCACAGTACGGTATGTGACGAGGAAAGTGGATATTCTTACACCGCCACTACGTGGTTTATACCGTCATACAGTCATTACACATCTCTAATCTACTTTTATTATGAAGTACATACCACTTACAGTTTAAATACACTTTACAATACGCATTAACTGCGGTGTAATTAAAACTACCCCTATTAATGTGGAACTTGCAATATTTCACCGATAATCTCAATTCCTCGAGAGTCTACACGTTATATTGATTCGTTAATATAATACATTAACAATAATTAGCAATCCAAATGCGTTACTCACCATCTTTCAAATGTGTTACGGCTTCATGATTGCGACGGCAACGGCGGCCGGGTTCCAACTGAGGACTCATCGAGATATGCAGTTGATAACGATAAGGCATCTCATATCGTTTCGCGTGATATCATTTGATAACCGAACGTATCGCTTTCATGAATCCGACCTGATGAAGCATATATTCACGACTTTGAGTCAATATTGACGCAGTAGTATGATTTGAAGTTACAGACCAAAAATGAAGTTAAGTACGAGTATTCTTGGATAGTTTGCTTTGTTGAGTTTTAACGTTTAGAGTCTGTGGCAGAATTAAAATATTAAGTAAATTATGTAATTATAATTATTACAATTAAATGTCATATTAAATTATTACTACATGCGAAATAATTTAGCAATAAATTTATTAATCGATGATACATGTAGATGCCTATGGGCCACAGCAACCGCTTACCATCAGGTGGACTGTCTGCTCGTTTGTAACCCTATTCTATAACAAAAAAAAATAAAGGATGCGCTAGACATGCAGTAATTACTGATCTGTTGTCCTTTCAAATATTTATTTAAAAATTATAATCATTGTATATCTACTGAAGTATTTTATTTACATTTATTGCACTAAAGAAAGAACTAAAAGATAAAAATATTTAAACATGTTATTATTCTTTTAAACTAAATCCAATAATTGTATCTCCAATAATGTTATATAATTAATTTTTCTACATAACAATTTTTTAAATTATTAAATATTTAAAACCAGACTTTAGAAATGTTGGCATGTCGTAATTAAGATAAAATAAGCCAAGTTAATGAACTTAAGTTTGTTAACGTTTATTATCTCTATATTTAAAACATGTTCGAAATACAATATTTAAATTCTGTAATTTTTCTTACAGGTTTTATATCTCTTCATCTTCATTACCTCATGAGAGTTGACTTCTGGACATTTTATGAATTTTTTCAATATTTTATTTTATAGAATAATAATAATAATATTTTAATATATATTCACTTGCACACCATACAAAGTCATTAAACAATAAACACAAAATGTTTACTTATTCCACACAGCAGTATTCCAACTGACGCTTACAGTAGGGAAACCTGAGCTGTAAATGTCAGTACTCTTCCAGTGTCACAATATACAAAAATTACACAATAATAATAATAAGAATATGACTGAGAAGCGAACACCTGATTCAAAGTGGATGCTATGGCCCATAGACATCTGTATATCTTACGCGGTAGAGCCACGCTGCAACTATATTATGGTTGTTGTGCGAATGGGTTGGCTCAACCGGGGAAGGACCACGCTCTCACAGAATACCAGCGTAAAATAGCAGTTCAATGCTGTTGTTTTTCGTATGGTGAGTGTAGAGAACCCGAGACACTTTTAACTGGAAACAAGGCATTCTATCTTAGTACACAGGGGTGGCTACGCATCTGTTTGATTCTTAGTTGAGGCTAGATGTAGATGTCTATGAGCCATAGCATCCACTTACCATCAAGTGGACTGTGTGCTTGTTTGTCGCCCTTAATCTATAAAAAAAATGATTACATACTCGATTCAGAATCAAAATGTAGATACTAGTTGGTAGATGAACTCCTTTTATGCCTAGGAGTCTGTCCAGACAGACCCAGGTAAGTACCACCCTCTTCTCATCATTATCATCATCATTACAGCCCTTCACAAGTCCACTGCTGAGCATAGGCCTCCCCCAAGGAATGCCACAAATCTGTCAATGAATCCTGAGCCACCTGCATCCATTGACTTCCTGCATATCTCACCAGTCTCTCACTACTCTTCGTCCGCTGGTACGAGGCCGCCAATTGAGAACCTTTTTCCCCATCGGAAAAAATGTTCTAGTGTGATGAATGTGTGTGAAAAGTTTTGTGCCCAGATGTTTTTAGGTTTTTTTTTATTAAAAATAAGCATATTCTAAATGAAAACTAATTTTTATTTAATATAACATTTTATGGTACTATTATATGTAACAGTAACCTAAACTGCACGGTAAATCTCAAAGCACTGCTAAATTGAAGCACTTTACTAAAATTTCGATATCACCACCTCTTGTTCGTGGCAAGCCGGCCCATTGCCATTTCAGCTTACTAATCCGTTGGGCTATGTCGGTCACTCGGGTCTACTGCGGATAACCTCATTTCTAAGTTTATCACGCAGAGAAACTCCGAGCATAGCCCTCTCCATAGCTCGCTGAGCGACCTTGAGTTTCCTCATCTGGCCAGCACTGCTGGCCGGACCACCCTCTTCTATCTACCGCCAAATATCAGTAATTACGCTGCTGTGTTCCAGTCTGTAGAGTAGAGAGATCCAGTATAATTACGGCTGAGAGGTATTCCATCTAGGTGAGAAGGAAACTGGAGCCATCTTTGTTTGAAGTTGGTTGCAGCTGTCTATGAACTACACTGGTAGCCACTTACCCTTAAGTGAACTGTAAGTTTCATTATCACATCAGTTTTATAAAAACAGGTCCATGATGACTAAGATGGATATGCACCGTTTCCAGCAATAATGGTCTCTGGTTTCTTCACCATTCTACCACGGTCGAGCTAATCCACTCATGCCGTAGCCATATATAGCTGCAGTATGGATCTACCACGTAAAATAAATCCCATTGCATAGTCGATGAGCCTTACCAATCCAAACCGAGATAGGCATGGGCTTGGATTGGCAATCGAAGTACCACCTCGTCACCTCCAGACTGACTTTTGATTTTGCTCATCATTGCCAATCCGAGTTAATAACATCCACTAGATAACATAAAGACATGAATGCATTTATTCCAACACTTACATCTTCTACACACATGACAAATCACAATTAAAAATAAAACAAGTGACTTATAAACAAACAAACAAACAAAAATTTGAATAAATAAAAGAAGTGCGTCCATTATATGTATATGCACATTAAAATTAAAAAAAATTGTGTGCTATGATGAAGTTGTGGAAGGGACCGTCTTAGGATATGCCACGAGCTTGCAGCGCTGATTTTCAGCCGGCCCCGAACAAGTTCCGACGGTCAACTTTATGCGAGCGAATATTTTTTTTAAATTCTTATTCTAAGTATATCTCATGCGAGATGTGTCGTAGACGGTAGTATGCAGAGAGTGGTTATATTACTATCTATTGGGAGCCGTGAGGTCCTTTCGGCATTTCTCAAAGTCGCTTGTTAAGACAAGTAGACTTCGCAAGAGAGCAACGGGTCAAGATGGGACGTTGCATTCTCTTACCACCATCCGTTGTCATTACTATTAATAGCTTATTAAGAGTACATAGCTTTAAAGGCCTCCCACATGAATTGCCTCATAGGGGATTTATCACGTTGCTATACTTGGCAAGCAGGTTAGCAACTAAAGTTTTTTTATAGTTTAGGGTTGTTATCAGAAAGACGCGCCTGTCCATCTTCTGTTTCAGCTTTACTGTTTTTTTTTTATAGAAATAGGGTGACAAACGAGCACACAGTCCACCTGATGGTAAGTTAGGCCCATAGAAATCTACATCTATCCTCTTTTGCGAGTCAAAATGCAGATGCGGTGTCAGGCTTGAAGACTAAGATGGAATGCCTCTTTTCCAGTAAAAAGGGTCTCCGGTTCTCTACATTCACCATACGAAACACAGCAGCATGAAGCTGCTATTTTACGCTGGTATTCTGTGAGAGCGTGGTCCTTCCCCGGTCGAGCCGACCCACTCGTGCTACAACTATATCAGTAATATAGCTGCAGCATGGCTCTACCACGTTAAATACTGTGCGCTTCCACCTGTTTCTCGGGATGTAAAATAAATTTTAGTAGAGTCAATTAATTGGACGAACACTCGTCCCAATCTACCTAATCTTAATTTATGTAATTATTATATCTTTATCACACTTGTCACACGTTCTTAAAAAAAATAACTTTTTATTCAGGCCCCTATTAAAATTTAAAGGCACATAATATTAAAAAAATATCTATGAATATTTTTGCAGGCGCTAGTAATTTAAATAGTAGAACCCATAACAAACATACCTCAACTAGGATTGAAGTAACCGAAAAAACTAGTAAATCCTATAGAAAAATAGGTAATTAAGCGTTTATGTTACATTCTATAAAAAATATTGAAAAATTAAGATAACCCAACCCAACATACATATTTTTTGAAAAAGAATGAATACGTGGAAATAATTTTGTTCTTCTCTGATCTTTGAAGTCGTATACTTGTGACGTCTACCATCCCTGCTAAATACACATCCTAAAAATATAAACTAATTAACCTATGTACACAAAATATTCCCATGCCTGTCAACTGTTCGTGAGTCCCTGCTATAATATGCTGCTCGGTAGTCATTTTGTTCCTTCGATTCAATAGTTTTACTTAGACTCCTCTACCGTATATATAACCTTAAATAATTTTTTTTCAACGTTCAAAGATCAAAGCAAAGTAAAACATAGAGGAATTAAAATTACTGGATAAACAAGGTATGCTAATAATTATTTAATCATGTTGTTCTTAAAACGCGTAAGAAAGTATTACAATAGTTGCATCCGGCTCATTCTTATTAATGATAATATCCGGGCCTGACATGTATATAATAACATAATATTATTACTTAATAGTCAATACTATTTTCAGTAAAAAAAAAAAACACGTTTTTGTACGTGGTGGAGCCATGCTGTAGCTATATTATGGTTGGTTGTATTTTGTTGCACGAATGGGTTGGCTCGACTTTTTTTACTGATAACGAGACAATTTATCTTAGCCCACAGGGATTGAGAACGCATCTGCATATTAATACAAATATAGATGTCTATGAGCCACAGCATCCACTTACCATCATATGGACTGTGTGCTCGTTTGTCACACAAATTCTATAAAAAAAATCATACACCGAGATCATTGCATATGTTTTCTTTTGTTAATTTTAGTACGGAGCTCTAAAAACTTTGCGTTTAAGATAATGCTCTTCTAAAACAAACTCTGCTTTATGGTTGGGAATTGATTCGAAGAATATT